TAAGTTAGGACAACTATAACTCTATCATACCCTAATCATGTCATGTTGTACTAATCCGTGGGCCGGCCGTCCATGCTCATACACATAATTTAACATTCTCTCATCAATTAAAGCTAACACACCACACTAATAACACCAAATTGATTGGATGAAGTTATGGCCACTGACTCCCCTAAATAAATCCCCCAACTTAATATAGCTGAAAGATTGGTTGGCCACAGGCCCCTCAACAACCAATGCAATTATTCTTTTGGATTAACAACAACCAATCCAATTATATGCTTTCACCAAATATTGGTAGTGGCACTGTGGCAGCCATTAACCATGGTCCATGAGCAACCCTTTACACCAAAACCCCCCTGTTTTGGGGACCTGTCCAGTGGAAGAAGCATTTGATGAACAACTTTTCCTTCTACTTGACAACCTCATCATTCATTCACCATCATTACCATTTTGTACATCACCAAGAACTGAAATATTCTGAGAGAACGTGATCACCAGGATCGGTTGCCAAATATTTAAGCTGATTAGCTGATCCATGGTGCATGCTTCCATTATGAAACAAATTTTGCCTTTTCACCTGTTTTGCTACTGCTGGACCAAATTTTTTATGAAGTTAAAAGCTAGAATTGAAAAATCGTACATTATCGGCGGTTCGACTAGAGAAAGTGTCTATCAAAAGCGAAATCGGTAATAGGTATTTAGCAGCATGTAATGGGTTAACCACATTTAAACTATGAGCTCAGCATAAAATGTTCTACCGATGACTTTTCCGATACAATTCTAATACGGCTTTTCAATCTTTGGTTCGGAGAAATTTTTCTTAGGTTGAACCCAAAACACTTTTCTATAATTTGATGATCTGGAAGATAATCTTTTTATCAGTAGTGAGCAGGGGTAATCGGTTATAGGAATGTAATAAGCCATAAATTGAAATATGTTGTTGTCGTGAAGAGTTGCATTGCGAACGACATATTTTGAGCTCGAAATAGATTGACAATCATTTCGTGAGAACACAACTTAATTATGGATGGCAAATATTGATCGATCATATGTGAAAATGTTTCCTTTCTCTGTCTTGTACTATGTTGTTGATGTGATCAGTGAGGTAACACCACTTAATCACCAAAAAAGGGGCCAAGGGAAGAAGAACATTCTTGGTTCTTCCTCTTGTACTTTCATGTATTATGGTTTATGCTTTCATATATAGTTGCTTACTTGCCTATTGCCACTGTTGGTGGGACTTGTGTGAAGGCTAGCTGGAGCCAAGAATTGATAACTTAGTCTGAGTGTATGACAATGGATCTCAAGTTATGTCATCCACGAATAATATGAAGTCTATTTCTTAGTTTTTTTTAATATTTCAATACGAAAGGTAAAGAATATCTTTGTATAAGCATACATTTTGGTTGAGAAGATCATCATTAGATAATAATTAACTTTGCTGACGATATTCTATTTCAGTGGAAATTATCTAAAATACAACTTTCCACTTATATATATTTAAATTATTATTATTATTATTATTACATAATTAAAAGCATACATATTTTTTACTGTTCATTACTAAAGAATAGAAACCATATTAAATTTGGTAACGGGTATTGTTCGCAATGAGTTCTTATCTCCTAGATTCAATTTTATCATAAAGTCATTTTTATTTAACTGATTTTTTTATTTTCATTATTTATCATAATCTCATTGTTATTTAATTATCAACTAAAAATCCTTTATTTTTACTATTTATTAATAAATAATAGGAATAAATTAACTATAAATCCTCTATTTTCATTTTTACTGTTCATCGCTAAAAAGTAGGAACTAATAGATCACTGATATTTTATTATTAAACTAAATCTTCTTAGTTTGTCACCTTTTTTAATGAGTAGTGTTCGCAATGAATTTTTATCTGCTACATCCGGTTTTATCATAATCTCATTTTTATTTAACTGAAACTTCTTTATTTTCACATTTATAATAAGCTCATTATGATTTAATTATTAACTAAAATTCTTTATTTTCACTATATATTACTAAATAATAGGAATAAATTTAACTAAAACTTCTTTATTTTCATTTTTACTGTTCATTACTAAAAAATAGAAACAATATTTTGCTTATTACCTTTTTTGTTAGAGAGATAATAAAAAATTATGTGTCTAGAACTTGTTATCTATTTAATTTTAGTTTTTTGTTCTAGTTTTACTAGAGAATATTTAGCCTTTTAAAAGATGAATGTTGGTTTTCCTAGTATTGGATGACATTGTAGTAGATTTGTTTTCATTTTCGGTGGAGATAATTTTATGACATTTTGCCATCTTAAGTTAAAAGGTGTTATGTCTACCATAAAATATCCATGAGTCATAATTCATGATGGATTGTCCCTACCTATTAAATAGGTGACAATTAGACGTCCCAAAAAATTTAGGTGAGGAACAATTGATTGTTCCCACAAGTGTACATGTGACAATTATCCGTTCCCAAAAGGTGCATAAGTGTCAAGTCCTCGTCCCTCAATATACAAGTTAAGGGACAATTGTTCGTCTATATGTTACAGCTTCTCGTCTCTAAGGATATGGTATAAGAGACCGCTCATAGTCCTAGAATAAAGCTTTTGGGAACAATTTTTAGACTCAAATTTGATATCTATAGGAATAACATGTTGACCCTATAAAATGAAAAGAGGAAGATGTATTATCCCCAGGTAGGTCCAACACAATCACTAAATTGATTATTCGGGACAATAATTCGCCCCCTAAATTGATGCTGAGGGGACAAGCTATTGTCGCTAAAGTGATAGCTACAGGGATGACATGTTGTATTTCATGGAAAATAAACGAGACAACGAATTACTAATATCGGGGATGACTATCGTCTCTAAAAGAAGTAAGGACAAGAGTTTAAGATACCCGATATCGGCTAAAAACTTTGGGGACGATTTTTCCCATTTCTGAGGAGGACTTTCAGCGTCCCTAAATCTCATCTTTTTTGTAGTGGTATGTACCTTATCCGAATATAAAGATTTTAAAACAGTGGTCTCAAATGGTTAGGATTAGGAATATAGGAACTCAATTTGGCGACAAGAAAGAAACTTGTATTATTTTTTAGGTTAGACGTTTTATTAAACATGCCCATCTACTATTTTTTACATCAAACATGCCCCTGTACTTTAGAAAACTTATCAAACATGTCCTTTTGTTAAAATTTCCATCCAAATACCGTTAACCAAGACCGAACTTTGGTTTGGGCGACCCAAATATCTAAAATATCCCTAATAATTTCAATTTAGAGAAATAAAACAAGGGTCAAAATTGACGTTTCCCCTCCCATTTATCGATGTCAGGTCGTCTAAATCTCGGTTCAACCATGATTTACGATTTTTTCAATGAAAATTTCAACTGAAGGGCATGTTTGATAATTTTTCCAAATTATAGGAGCATGTTTGATGTAAAAAATAGTAGTGGGACATGTTTAATAAAATGTCATAGTAGAGGAGCATATTATACCTATAACCCTATTTTTTAGGTTAAGTTCCAGCGAGCCACCAGCCCACCACACCAGCAAAATCTCTCACGGGTTGATCATCAAGTCCGTTTTCTCCTTTTTAATTATAGTGATGATGGGAATAATGGACAAAATAGCAGGTGATCTAGCTTTCTACTCTTATCTCCTCCACACAACACAAGAGAATCTAAAAGAAAAATTATAGGTGCATGTGGGTAACCAATTATTGATTTCTGTTTGTGTTGTTATAATATATCATCTCATAAGGTTGATGGAAGAAGGTATGCATTTTGTATATTTTAAATGCAAGTAAGAGTGATTTGAGAATGCATGACTTCTACAAAAGCCGTTTATTTTAGCATTTGCATATTTTCAGAATACATAATATTATCTATTAAAAAACTTGTTTTATTAAAAGAAATTTATCAACATACTTAGCAACCTATTGTGTTACATCCACCAATATAGTATCCAAAGGCAACCTAACTTGATGAGTAAGACCATCTCCATCACAAAAATTGTTTAGCAATTCTAAATTGGTCCCCCATAGCCACATAAGCAACTTAGCAATTTATCCCTTCAACAATTTCTAGCCATCTCCATCTCATCAATTCCTTAGCAATTTCTATTGATGGGACCCACAACATATCCATATACAACTTATGTTTTCATATATTTGACAATTTTATATTTATGACTAATTAGAATTTATAAGTTGAATTATAAAAATATCTAACTATTTGTGTTTAGAGTAATTTCTTTCTGGTTTCAAGAATATTTAATTATAGTTATACATATATTTTATTTTGTATTTGGATGATAAAAATATAAGATATAATTTATAGCAAAAAATGTGTATCATAATTTATCTAATTAATTAATCATAAAAAAATATTTTCTAATCAACAACTTCAAAATAATATAGAAGAATACAATTTGTGGCAGAAAAAGAAAAAAAAAACATGAAAGTGGGTCCCCGTGTCTAGGTGGCATTTTTAGGCAACTTGCGAATTTAGCAAGCTTGCTAACTTAGCAATCACCTATTAATCCTACCAATTACTAAAGGATTGCATTTGGCAATTGCCAAAATATTTATGGATGGAGATGCTCTAAACCAACACACCATTAAACATATATATGTAATTAAGAATCTTCTCCTTTTTTTTTATAATGATTACTTTGGAAGGATGTCAGTCAACTAACCACTTGACTCACTGACCCTTATCTTGTTACTCCAACCAATTGTTTGTTTCTTCCTTTTGGCTCTATTCTATAATACTGACAACCGGCTGCTAAGTCAATACCATGGCTACCACGCCATAGATTCCATCCCATGGTACAATGGCATGGGGCAGGGAGAATAGAAGGCAAAGGAATGGAACTATGGAAGAGATAAAACTCATCCAAAAGGGCTCCAAGACAATCAGAATTTTGGAAAACAGAGGGAGGAAGAGGATTATCCAAAGCATGAGACAAATTTGTTTCAGAGATTGGAGAGGGAATAAAGCTACAATATTTCAAAATGATGGCACAAGTTTTTGGGAGCCCTTGTGTTGCAGAAGAAACCAAAGGAACTGATAAATTCACATTCTTCTCCAGCCTCTTTAGTATCCCAACAAACTGCAGGAATTCATAGGGATGGCAATTTACTCACCCATGGGTAATTTTGCCCAAACCTAAGTAGACCCATTTATTATGGGTAGGGTTTGGGTGATGTGTGTATGGGTTTGGGGTTTGTATATGGGTTTGGGTTAGATATGGATATTATCTAAATGGGTATGGGTTGGATATGGATATCCATTTACTTGAGGGTGTTTTAACTACACATGCAAAAATTGGACCTATTTGTAAAACTTGAAAAGTTTAGGTACCAAATTGTAAGACCAAAAAAATTTAGGTACCAAAACATAATTTTCCATCGATATTTTGAGGACTTATATGCAAAAAAAATTAAATTTAGGTACTAAATATGCATATCTATTAAGTTTAGGTACCAAACTGTAATTTGTATTTGGACAGGGATACAAACCCAAATCTATTTGTTATAAACCCAACCCAACCCAAAGTAAATGGGTATGGGTACAAACCCATCAAACTTTACCCATTTCCATATATTTGGATTTCATACCCAACCCAATTGAGTTGGATAGTAAAATACCCATGGGTATGGGCAAAATTGCCATCCCTAGGAATTCATACAGCAAAACAGATATTGACTTAACATTCTGGGGACCAACTACAAAACCCAAGAAGGAATTCAATTGCACCGCCAAAAAGCTCCTCTCTTTTTTTCTCTCTCTTTTCATCTATTGTGGTTTAATTTACTATACAGCAGCCAATATCCCAAGCCTCTGCTGCTTCAAAAGAGAAGTCCCATTCAGTAGTTGCCTTTTACTATGGCAGCCTAAAGAACAAAGAGGAAAAGGAAGAAATGACTTTGCTACAAACCCAACAAAGCAATGGAAGTGGGAAATAAATTTGAAAAAAAAACAACAATTTTTTTTATCCTTCTATACAACTGAAAGATACTGGTCATGATTCAAAAGGGATGGATTCTGTGAATCCTGATGTATGATCCTCTCTTTTGCTTCACCACATCAAGAGCATAGCTTTGGCAAGGATCTCGAACTGCTCCGATTGGGTGTCTTAGATTTCATCATCTTTGTCATTTGTGTCTGCATCTTTCTGCAAACTTTCTCCAACTCCATCACCCTCCATTGCATGCCTTGTAGATGTGCTCTGAGCCTCTCGTTATCGGCTGAGAAGTCGAGCTTAGCAGCATAGAGGACAATTTGCTGGTCGTCCTTGTTCCCCTTTTGATCTGCTTCGCCCAAGCTACTGCAAGGTGAATCCACAAAGCAGGTTGTGGCATTGGTGGGTTGGAGCAGGTTCTTCAGCTTCACTTGCTGAGACATGAGAGCTTGGATAGCAGTTCTTGATGGGAACTTCTTGTTCTGAGAAATGTGCATACATACTTCTGCTGACACCTTCTCATAGTTCAGTGCACAGCATATCTTCATCTTTTCCTCGTTAGATAATCCAGTATGAGCCTGTGCAGACAAAGAAACCAGGTTAGAGTCCAAGCACTTCAGCAGCCACTTTAACAACAACAGAGAAATTTACCTCTAGATACATGTCTATGGCACGGTACATCTCATTGTACGAGTCCCGAGCAGAATCCGGCAAGGCCATGGCCAAAGCAAGAAACTTGGATGGTTTCAAGCTAGGATCAGGAGCTACTTCTGCAATGTACATATCCATCAAACTCGCAACCTTCTTCAATCGAATTGAGTAAATTCCGCCCTGGAGAAACGATTTCAAGAATCTCAGAACAAGATTCACATCATACAGAGAGTTGGCCCCATGAGGAGATGGAATCAATAGATTGTCCAGAGTTGCTTGATCCAACTGGGAACCTATCATGTTCTCCACCTTTTTCCTACTACATTTGCTCACATTCAAACTCAAAGCAACTCTGAGTAAACCGAATAAGCTCTTGCAAGGAATGGAGCTCCAATCAAGAATGTGAAGCAAATCGATAACAACCTCAATCGTCTTGACCTTCTCACCACCTGAGGTTGAGTAGCACTTGGATTTCTGGTAGTAAAAGAGGAACTTACTAATTGTGCCATGATCAAATTTCTTTGAAGCCATTGCTTTGATTAGCATCTCAATGAAACTTAAACTCAAACCAGATATCTCCTCAAACCACCATGTTCCTCTAACAAAGCAGGTCTTGAGACTCTCTGTACTTCGACTATCACATGAAACCCGGAATGTCCCCGAGCTATCTTGTGAAGAAGTGGAAGGACATGGACTTGATTCACTAGACAAAGCCATCCTTCCAATAAGTGAATCCATACATTTCTCGACAATGCTTGATGAATTAGACAAGTCTTGGCATTGCTTTAAGGTGACCAGAAGCTCAGACCAAGTCCAGTAGCCTATCTGTTGAAGGGATTTCTCAGTTTGTTCCAATAAGTTGGGTCTAGTTGTAGATGGAAAATCACTGCTCATCTCCATGAACTTTGCAGCAGAGTACAGCAAGGACAGGTTGGAAGGGTTTATATCAATTCTGCCATTGTTGTAGCAGAACCGTAACATGAGCTCAAAGCCCTCAGCTCCTCCTGGAAAATCATTGAATATGACCTTCAAAGTCCTAGTACCACCAGTTGATTTCCCAAACAACTTGCTTAATCTTCCTGAATACGAAGATATAATCTTCTGCCAACACCAAGACAAAACATAATAATCAGAAAGAGCCCCACAAATTCACTTCAACAGTAATCACCACGCAAAACCATAGACAAGAAGTTGAACTTCTTTTCCACAGAAGAAAAAAAGGTAAAACCGTCCAAATTAAAGTGCAACCCAACAAAATTGGTTGGGGGAATGTGAGAAAAGCAAGGAAATTCCGATCACTGTCATAATTAAAACCTTTCAGAACCTTAAAAGCCTCTCATTATCAATAGAGCTCTCAGTAGTGAATTTGGCCCCCAAAACACAAAACCCCAAGAAGAAGAGATTAATTACAAAGGGTGGAAATGGAATGTACAGCTAAAGGCTTGCAGGAGAAAGGTGAGAGGTCGTTATAGACAGCATTAAATCGTGCATGGGCAACAAAAAAGAGAAAGAGATGTGCAGCTGAAAATAACTCAACATCCCACCATATGAGGGTAATGAACAGCAATACCATGGCTTTGGAAACCAACTTAACTCTCTCTCTCTCTCTCTTTCCCTCAGTCTCTCACTCTTCTTCAACATCTAGTCCTTTCTCAAAAGTGGTGCACACAAGAAAATAAGGAAAGGGCAATATGAACATTTAAGGCACCCCTCCCTCATAACCACATAGCAATAAATGAGAAAGGGGAAATGAGGGAAAGGGAATGAATTCGTACACACAAAAACCACCATCACCACTCTACATCAATGGAGGGAAGAAAGCGGCCAAAATAGAAGAAGGGAAGGTGCAAGAAACGGCTATTAATGTACCCCACACAAGCCTGTAATGTTGGGTCTGGAGATTTAATGGCGGTTGTGCTGGTACTATCAGCAAATTGACATCATTGACAGTAATACAGAACAGTAAGAGATGGAGAATTTTATGTTAAACCGCCATTGAGTTACTCAAATCCATCATTTGTCAAGCACAAAGATAGAATCCACCAGATTTCCAGTACAAACGCCCCTGAGCATAAACATGAACCTAGAAGCCAACAGAACAAATTCGTAGCAGAAAGAGAAGTAACAAAAGGAACTCAGAATTGGATTAAGTTCTTCTTCCTTACCTTGTCCACCATGAAGGACTCTTCTCCATTAACATCAACTTCAAGATCACAGCAAACTGCCATGACCCAAATCAACCAAATTTGATAACTCGCCCCAAAGATTCCTGCTTTGCCTCTTTTGCAACGGAATAACAAATTAATGAAGAACCCACCGCGAAAGTCTTGAGCTTTATAAGTAAAAATTTCCGGCAATTTGTGCAACAAGATAACCAACAAAGAGAAAACCCCACCGAGATGGGTTCACAGAGTCACCAGTCCGCCAAATGTGAAGAAGAGGGAAGGTAAAAGAAACAGGAGAGCCATGTTCTTAAGATGGGTAAATAATATAAGAGGAGAAAAAGAGAGAAGACAACAACTGTTGAAAATTCAGAGCTCCAGTGCTCAGCTGGGGAAAATAAAAAGGACACTTGGTGGTGAAGCAAGCCAAGGTGGTTCTCTCTAATGGGATGGAGCAGAGAGAGAGAAAGAGAGAGGGACAAAACCAAAACCGCAGAGGAAGGAAGAAGCAAACAAGCTGTGTAAAGACGGAGAATAAGGATTGTATATTAATAAACGACTGTTGTGGTCTGTGAAACGGGGAAGAGAAATAGGGAATAATGTCTATAATCAGTGAGATTACAGAGGGAAGAAGAAGAAACAACAGTTGGGGGGTGGTTTTTAATATGTGAGGGTCTTCTCTGTGTGATTGACCACTCAATCAGAGTCTGTTGTTATTTTTACGTTTTTGGCTTGTTTATTAACAACAACAACCCATGGATCCATCTGACATTCCTATTAAACAATCCAAGAAAAGCACAAAAAACATTTTACTGCACAGTGAATTCTGACAAAAAGTATCACTTTATAGTATTTTGGGGTAAACGACTATTTAATGGAAGGGGATTTGTTGTTATGGACCACAAGTGATATGTGCAAAGCGGTATCATGAAAAAGATGGGACAAGGTGGTAAGATGGCTGAATAAATTTGCTGTTAATGGCGGGATTTTTTTTGGCTGGTGTGAGAGTAATTGCGGGGGAAATCATCTTCAAATTGTTAGTGTTACTGTGTTAGATTATTAGATAGAATCATAGAACGGGATCTACTTGTTTGCTTGGCTTCCTTTTATCCAAACTTGTTTTCCCGGGCTTCTCCAAATTCTGTTTATATTGTTATGGTTACAATATACTTGGTCAAATGTACACCGAAATTTAGAATATGAGTCTAGTTTTTTTATGAGGGAGTTATTAACCCACAAATTAGCTTACAATTATTGATTAGACGCAAAATATATGTTATATACTATTATTTCATGATATGTTATACATGATTTTTGCATATTTGTTGTCATATTAACTTGGATTTGCTTGGTAATTGGCTAAATGTGTGTTTTGTAGTTTTAGGAATGTTTTTATACTTTTGTTGACCTTTGGCCTTAGGTAGTATTTCGTGTATTTTCATATAAGAGCACCCTAGTTGACCACCTTACACGAACTAGAGACATTAAGACCCAACTATTGAAAGTAAAAAATAAGCAGGAACCCCAGCCCAGAAATAATGGCCCAAATTCTCAATCAAAAGCCAAAATGGTACCACAACACCACTCTTAAGAAGGCCAAATAAGCTCCGATTCACTAGAAAATTCCTTTCCTGGAGGTAAAGCGGAAGATATCCTTCAGATATGCAAGCACAAGAGTTTATACCTTACAATATTTCTCAGAAAACCTTGTGAAAATGGTTGTAAATAGACCCTCTTGACTAGTGAGTTAGCCAGAAATTTGTCTAAGGTAGGTCCAACATTAAAAAAGGGTTAATATTTTCGTATGGCCTGAACTTTGACCAAAATAAACATCCTGTCCAATCTTTTCGATCTATAACATGCTGGCCCGAACTATACACCAAAATAAACAATTTGGCCAAATCCGATGTTTGACCGTTAACTTGGACGGTCAAACGCGTTGACTAACGGTCAACGTGCCACGTCACTGCCAAGTTAGAAGATCTGATAAATATTTAATTTTTTTCGCTTTTTTGTTTAACTATGGTATTAGATGATTTTTTTAATTTATAATAATTTAAAATTAGGGAATGTGTGGAAATTGTGAATTATTTTAAATATTTTATGCTGACTTGGCAATGACATGGCGCGTTGACTAACGGTCAACACGTTTGACCGTCCAAGTTAACGGTCAAAAGTCGGATCTGGCCAAATTGGCTAAATTACACGTTTGGTCACTCAAATTATATAAATCTTTCACTTTTGCCACTCGAATTACTTTTCTTTCATATTAGCCACTAACTTTACGATTCGTTTCACCTTTAGTCACCGGCCGTTAGTCTCCGTTAAACTCCGTTAATTCCGTTAAAAATTTTGATGACATGGCAAACGGAAATGCTGACTGGACTGATAAAAAGAATAAGTCAATCAAGTTGACCACCAAATCAGCCTCACCCAACCAAATTGACCAAAACAAGTTACTTAATTTTCTTTTATTTATATTTTAAGGACTATAAAAAAACAAAAATTAAACCCAACCCCTTCCAAATTCCAATTCGCCGTCTTTCCTCCACTTCGACAAAAACCACCGTCGCCGCGGAAGGAACCCGTGCTTCCCGTCACCACTCGTTCCAGAATCGCAAAATAGGTCGAAGATTCTGGGGCCAAGACCGTCACGGCCGTTCCCGAACAAGAAACTCGAACTGGTCAAATCGGTATCACCTGTGAGGAAGTAATTGATTGCGGCGGCACCGAACCTAGCAAATTGAGCTCCAATCGATTGTGTCTGCTCCAATTCACCCACCGCCGCCGCTCCAAGGTCGACGGGGTACTGGGTTTTTGTCGAAGGTGAATATTGGTACGGGGCTAGAGTTCTTTCGGAGGTGGAAATCTAGACGAGGGACTAGGGTTATATCGGATTTGGGATTGGGGCTCTCCTCCGCCAATTTCCTCTCCTCTTCCTTCCCTTTCGATCTCGGAGAACTCGCGGTTGAATGAGCCGCCGTCGCGGCGGCGGAGGAGGTTGTAAGCTAGCTTGAAATTGGAGATTATTGCCCAGGTGTTTAGCGGAACCACCCTCTGCCCAGCAAACAAAATAAAAGCCTTGAATCAACGAAACAAAGAAGAGAAAAAAAAGGGATAGAGCAGACAAGGAAGAAAGACAATGGACACCTTGGATTCATTGAGGTTGATTTCATCATCACCAGCCATGCAATTGTTTCTTCTTTTCCTGGTTCTGGTTTTTGCTAAGAGAGAGACGAGGGAAGGGGAGGTGGGAGACGAGGGAGGGGAAGGTAGAACCATTCATTTTTTATTTTTATTTTTATATTTTTTAAATTGCCATGTCATTAAGTTAACTATTCTGTCAGCATTTCTGTTTGCCACGTCATCAAAAATTTAACGGAGTTTGACGGAAACTAACGGTTGGTGACTAACGGTGAAACGAATCGTAAAGTTAGTGGTTAATATGAAAGAAAAGTAATTTGAGTGGCAAAAGTGAAAGATTTATGTAATTTGAGTGACCAAACGTGTAATTTAGCCTGGCCAAATTGTTTATTTTGGTGTATAGTTCGGGCCATGATGTTATAGATCGAAAAGATTGGTCAGGATGTTTATTTTGGTCAAAGTTCAGGCCATACGAAAATATTAACCCTTAAAAAAATATAATGAAATTTCATGATGTGTTTTCATATCCTAAAAAATTTCTAAAATATATCCATCATTCAAATTCTAAGTGATATTAAGATACCCCACTAGAAAAACATTCATGATTTCATCACTCATTTGATTCTGAAGTGTTTTTTCACGTTGTTCATTGCAGTAAGTACTCTTTCAACACTTGCAACTAGTAGCAACAAATGCCCCTAAGTTTTAAGTTTTGCTCATATTAAACTCCAGTACAAAATATATGAATTAAAAGTTCAATAAACATCACAAAATATTACTTTTTGTAAAGTGAGGTACAATAATAGGGAGATCTTGAATTCAATCCAACTTCATATAAACTTTATATTGTGCCATCGGTCACCAGTTGAAGATATATCTTTATAGGGAGTTACTCTGCCCACAAAACAACTACCAGAACTAAAAGCGATCAGTAGGCTTTTTTTTTTTTTTGACAAATTGTAAAGCTTAGATTGCAAATCGGAATAACACGGTTACAAAAAGGGGAATGCTCCCTGAACCCAGCAACAGGAAAAGGAACCCACATGTCCAAAAGAACATATTGGGCAGCAGAGAAAAGCCCAAGAGAGGAGCACAATACAACCAGAACAGACACGAGGACTCCCTTCCAAAGTCCAAATCACAAAAGCAAAACCCCTCTTTGTATCCTCATCAATCCGATAAGCACAAAGCACAACACCAGCTCATCCAATGCAGCATTGACCATGGAAATTGAGCAAAGCAACCCCATAAGCCGCCTCCTGGGAGTTGTTCAAAGACGACCCATCATAGTAAATCTCCGATTCGGGATTACGCGGCGGTGGACAGGACTGTGACCGGATTGCTCAAAGCATGATGCGGCCGCCACAGCAATCAAAAGAGACACCCACTTCAGTCAACCGACACCTTAGGGGATGACGATGGAGAGGGAGAAGGTGAATGCAATCACCCGAGAGATGACCACACCAAACATTTGGAGAAAAGCATCAAACTGGATCTCTGAAAGAGGCTTCCCCAAATGGCATCTTCCGGAGCCATGGAAGAGCAAGGCCAAGCCAGATCTAGAACCTCTAGATCAGAACCAACAAGGATCCATCTCCATAAGAGAGGAAGCAAAAGGAACCCACAAAGGGAACAAGGAAGGCCACAAAGGGCTTGAAAGGCAGGAAACGAAAGGAGGAAAAAATCTACAATCAAATGGAAAGGAGAAAAACTTGGGCCACCGCCGGTCACCCAAAAGTTCCGGCGGCAGCCCCGAGGAAAAGAGGCTGAGTTTTAGAGAGAAGGGAGAGCGAATTTGAAATAGAGAGAGAAAAAGTTAATTTACTTTCAATAAGTAGGCTTAGTGTGTAGAACGATGGCCAAAATTGCGTCCTAGGTGCCATTTCCTAGTCAGGTTGCCATTTGGCATAAATTAGGTATCTCGACTTCTATACTTGTATAGTCCCTAGGTTTTGTCCCCATGTGTAGCTAGTTCTTTAGTTGTGTAGGTTGGCAAACCCTAAAAATTACTTAGACAATGTAATAGTCAATTGTGTTTGAGTTAAGAATGACAAAAATAACCATGCCTGTGGATATCTTTCTAAATCTGACCTAACTGGGTAAGGTCAAACACAAATCAAAGAATTTTAAATAAGCATGGGTAGAACCTGAACCCGAATATTGCAGGAGATGGGTGGTCATTGTTTTCTTACTCTCCACCCCGAACACGCCCAATTATGCACATGTATTTGTATTTTATTTAAAAAATATTATATTTTTTCCTCAACATATTTTATATTGATTATACATACATATATAATAAGTTCAATAAATTGTATTGTTTTTAACTAATTTTCTTCGTTTTAGTAATTTATCAATGTACTTTTTCACTTATGCAATGTCAGCATACGTGTAACAGTTAATATGTTGGTTGAAGTTGTAAAGAAAATTTTTTATATACATGGATAACCGTGGATATCCGAAACTCGATCTGGTATGGGGTATGGTTTTGATATTTTATCCGATTCTTGTACGACAAATGGGTAAAACCCCTACTATTTTGGCTAGTATAATGGATATGCACTATCCGTCCTCTGAGCTGATCTGTTGCCATCCATATTTTGAGTATTCTTTTTCTATGTTTATTGCATATAATGCGTTTATCGATTATATTAAGTGTATTATAACAAGGAAACCCTTATGATTTTGAGCATCGAATACAATACACGTCCTACAACAACCTACTCTACGTGACATAGAACATATGATTAGTTAGTCAAGGTCTAAGCTATGACAAAAGGGATCCAGATTTGGTGTACAGGGCGGTCAAATTTATAGGTTCTTACACCATTCAGAAACTCTTCTCTTGATAGCTTTCTGTAGAATAGCTTTTTTGCAAGAGCCTAAAATTGAATTCTTTGTAGTGGTACTTCTGATTCCACAGATTCTAAATCATCACCAACAAAGAATGAATAACAGGTCTCTTTTAACTAAAGTTCTCTATAGAAATGAGTGCACAAACGTTGTACAAGTATACCCGGGCCTCAACTCATAAACATAGGTATTCATATCATTCCTCTCCCATCTCTAATCCAATTTCTGTAATGCAAGTATTTACAATTCACATGATCCACGATGTTCGACGTTTTGAGGGTCGATACAGTGAGAATACTATTGATCATATCAAAAAAATTCCTGGAAATATGTGACTATGTACAACATCCCGATGTTGAGCCTAATGCAATACACCTCCATCTCTTCACCTACTCCATAGGAAGAAGAACACAAGAGTGTTGAGCTATACCACCCTCCTAGCACATTCCAAACATCAGATGCGCAAGTGCGAAAAATCATTGAAGAGTTCCTTTCCCAATGGAAGACTAACGAGCTAAGAAGTTAGATCTCTTGATTCCAGAAGCATAGTTCTGAAACCCTACACGAGGTTAGAAAACAAATCAAGATTTTCTTAGAGAAACCCAATTACTTATGTTGAAATCCAATTTCCCCTACCGTGAATATGTGTGCCATATCCTAGCACTAGTGAGCATCAATATTACCACTAAAGCACACAATAGATTTGTCTAAATTCACTTTTTGCCCACTTAGCCGTTGATATTCCCTTAAAAGCCCAAGCAAGATTTCGCATTCGATCTTAGAGCCCATAAGGGACATACGAATCATCTACAAAAAATGAAATACACTTAGGCTTCGCGAGTTTATTTCAACTAGCTGACTAGGGATGACAATTTGAACTTGTCCCGTCGAGTATTACCCAACCTGACCAGATCTGCGGTTGGGTGAGACATGGGTTACTTGTCTAGACCTGTCTCGCCCTATCACATTCTTGACCCGTACTATCTCAATTTTCTTCACTATCTATTTCTATTTTGTCCTATTTTGCTTTTTAAATAATATTTTCACACAATAAACTTTAAATAGGTTGAAGACTTGATTTTTTTAATTATTTAGACTCAATTACTCATTCTATTATCACTATTTTCATTTATTAAGTGTTTTCCTTAGTTTTATCATTAAAGAATTAATTTTTTGGTTAATTTTCTTCAAATCACATGTGAGAATGAGTCGACTCTCCCGCACCATACCCACGCAGATATGACACGACCTAACTCGCGCTTGGTGCGAGGCAGGTATGGGTATTGGGATATCCGCACCGCCCCACCTGTTTGCCATCCCTAAAGCCGACCCTCATGGACTGCCTGTCACATTATGTCATGATCCCTCAAAACATATCACAAACAATAGGAGACAACGAATCCCCTTGCATTAATCCTCTAGTCGACCAAAAATATCATGTCGGCACACCATTCATCGTGACAAAGAATGTCACTATGAATAGGGATGTTCAAATGGTTATCATGGTAATCACCAAACCAAACAAGTCTAAATTCTGTTAAATATAGAATACAATATCATAACCAAACCGTCCAAACTAATACAACAACCAAATTAACCAAACTAAGTTTAATCGTGTTGGTTAATTGGTTAACCAAATTAACAAATATAACATCACATTATCATTAAGTGAGAAATTTTTTCGGTTAATACCTCATTTCATAATTTATAATATGAATAAACATAACAATCAATGCATAGTTATAGTTAAACCTTACATAAATACATGTAACTAATACTAATACAATTATCTTATAGTTAATAGAAATATTCACCTAACAAAATCATATGCAGTGGATGGGGTTAATGAACTGTTGTATTTGTTTGAATTGATTTAGTCTTTTAACAATTATCATAGGCTGAATAAATTATTCGTTTCAAGGTTTAATCCAACATATGTTTGGGTTTTGATCTAAATCAGACATCCATATATTGTGGTTTACACTCTACAAATACAAATGTACAGTATAGGAATAATAATGAGTTCCATCTTTTATGTGCATAAAAAGGAGAGACGTTTGACTCTTGAGTGGTTAAGTAAAGTATTAAGTATGTATATATAATATATTATATATATGACTAGTTACTTAACTGGGTTTGTTTGTTTCGATTGGTTAGGAGTGTCTGAAACCAAACCACCCAAACAAACAAGCTAAAAGTTTTAACCAAACCAAACCAATTATCCAAATACTACCGGTTAA